AGCTAGATTCCAAGACAAATGTAGAAAACTAAAAACAGGAACATGTCAGCATTGGACCCTGCCAGGAGTCCAACAGATTCTTAAAGACACTTAGAGAGGTCAAGGTCGAGAGCTTCAAATCTTTTTGTAAGATATTCCAGGAAACAGGAGCGGAGTAGGAGAAGGCCCTTTTGCCTAGTTCAGTCCTCACTGAGGGAACACTGCAGGTAATAATGTCCTGAGAGCGCACTCCGTAGCTGCACTCACGCAGAGACATGTAGGAGGAGATGTATGAAGGCAACAGACCAAGAAGTGATTTAAAGATGAAAATATACCAGTGAGACAATAATAGCCGAATCTCATCCTCAACTCATACTTGAGCTCTAACAGGTTTCACAATATTGCATGAAACTGTGCAAAATGTTATGAGGTTTGACCTCAACATCTTTAACTCTGTCGATTCCCATCATAAACTGATCCCAGTTTAAAAATCTGGCATGATGGGTTGTGAGGGAAAAGAATGTTTCAAGGAACGCTGGGCTTTTAATTTAACACGGTAAATTACAAGGTGCAGAGAATATTAAACTTGATAGACGTCAGCGTCAGCAAATCATAAGAAAGAACTGATCAGACATAACTCAGAGTTAAAGTTCACTGAAGACAGGGCCAAAATATGACTTCTTTGATCAGATGGGACCCAAATCTGACTTTTTGAGAACCTGAACGTCACATATTTATTTATTTATTCATTCGTTCATTTTAAACCAAACTAAGGCCACTTACACACGTGGAACTAAATTAGATGGATAAGTGAAGATTTAAGGCAACCTCAGTCACGTTTCTTCAGGCTTTCGAGTCATCAACGGGCGACAGATGTTACAGTTCTTCTGCTGTGAGCAGATCAAACATGAACACTGGATGAAACAGGCGTGGCAGAGTTAGTTAGCTCGGACAGTCTCCGAATCAACAGCAAGAGCAGCGTCTGTATTAACGTTCGAAAAGATGTCACACGGTCTTCTCTGCATGAGCGTCTCTTCAGGGCCTCAGACTCACTGCAGTCTGACGGTGCTCATGTAAATTATAATGTGAACAGTCGCACACAAAAACTGGATCTCAGTCAAGTGACGCTCCAGAGTCACGTCGCATTTTGTTGATTAGCGAAAAACAAACAAGACAATCTGCCGTGCAGAAAAGAAGGATAGTATTGATTGCTTCATTGTTTTATCTTAGCAAATATAAAAACCTGGGGTAAAATCATTTTTGAGGAGTTTTAGGGAACAAAGCTGCAACACTGTAAACAGATGAGACAATGAATTTAGTTTTAGTACAACGAACAGCAAAAATAATAATGAAATAAAAATAAGAGCAGAATGGTTGTTGGTCTATATGTATCCTTGTGATGGACAACACATCCTGCATGGGGACCTCTGGTGATGGGCACCAGCTCCCTCAGCCACTCAGACAGGAAGAAGCAGAAAAAATAAATGGATGACTGAACAGATAATATGAGTTCCAAAACAATGATGCTCGTCCTGATTACAGTAATAAAATGAACCTTTGGTTTGACTAAACCTTGTTGATTTACAGATTACTTTATTGATTCAGTCCATCTGTGCAGTTCAGGTCAAAGTTCAACATGATGCTCAGGTCAAAGTTCAACATAATGCTCAGGTCAAAGTTCAACATGACGCTCAGGTCAAAGTTCAGCTTGATGCTCAGGTCAAATTTCAACATGATGCTCAGGTCAAAGTTCAACATGATGCTCAGGTCAAAGTTCAACATGACGCTCAGGTCAAAGTTCAACTTGATGCTCAGTTCGAAGTTCAACTTGATGCTCAGGTCAAAGTTCAACATGATGCTTGGGTCAAGGTTTAAGTTCAAGATGATGTGCCGGTCAAACTCAAGATGATGCTCAGGTCAAAGTTCAACTTGGATGAAGTGTGTGAGGTCCATCAGAGCAACCATAAAGTTTGCAGCCACTCCTGCATCACTGACACACTGATTCATGAGTGTGTGGTTCAAACACTGACTGAATCTAAAGACAGCTGAATCTTTAGGAGAACGTCTGCTTTGTGTCTGCACTGAGTGTAAAGTGCAGTCATGTGACTCCAGGAAGCTCTGCACATGACGCTCTGGCAGGTTGACTCCATGTTTTAAGGTTCACACAGAGCCTCAAGCACAGAGACACAACTTTACTTTACTGTCTGAATATTTCACAGTACAGGTACACTATTTATTGCACAACACCAGACGACATGTCTGTGTATTTGTGTCTGTCTGCCTGTCTGTTAGCAAAATGTCTCATGAATCACTGGACAAACTTTAATGAGACTCTCAGTATTTATTGGGTGTGCATCTACAACTCATTAACCTTAAGAGTCAGTCCAGTTCAAGATGGCTGCCACAGCCATTCAACATTAGCCAAAACAAAAATGGCTAAAACTCAGTTTTACAAATGTTAGGCTAAATTTCATGTGGTTGTAGTTAAACCTTTCCTCAAAAGTGTTAGACATTGCATGAGACATAATTTTATTTTCAAGAAAACAGCTACAATTCATTTATCAACATGATCTTAATCTAAAACTCCAGCATGAAAGGAGGAGGGGGAGACGTCCTCTCATTGCAAAATGTTCCTGTTACTCAAATATTATGAAGCTTCTCTGGCTTTGGAAGCTTTTCTCTAGAGAAAATGGTTTAGAAAATTAGCTTTAGCTTCCTTTTGTGATTTGTTTAATGGCATAAATACACCTTTATGAACCATTTACCAGAACTGCTTTGTGGTTCTACATTTAAGAAGTACCATGATCAGTATATATGTGTGACCTCATAAACAGTAACCATTTATTTGTATTACTCTATATTTCATAAAATTACCATCTGGGATACAGTAGATGCTGATTTCTTTTTTTGTAAGATTGAACGTTTGTGTTTTCATTCCAGATTGATTTTAAAGATACTCATCGCAAGCTATGAAATCAAAGATTAACATCCTGATTCATGCTCAAGAAAGGCAGAAAAATCCAACAAAGTAAGTAGTCAGTCAAATGATGAAGTATTTTGAATGAAAGACAAAATGTTTCAACAAAAAGAAACCGTCCAAAGGACCTGACTTAACTTTGCTGAAAACATAAATAGTTTATCCTGGACTTTATCAAATGTTGCATTTAAAACATGCTTACTCTTTAGTTTTGGACATTTGTTATGATTCATAGCCATAACAACAAAATAGATTTTTACAACTACGAGTAGCTGATTAACATCTCAAAAGCACAAATAATATCTCAGCTATAGCCCCAAATCTCAAATGAGTTGAAAAGGAGGTGCCGTAGACGCATTCCCATCTCCTTGCCAACTGAGCTCGAGTGCCTGACCACTGAGATCCTGGAACTAGCAGGAAGCACGGCTCATGACAGCAGAAGGACTGGGATCATCCCCTGGCACCTGCAACTGGCTGTCCACAATGACAAGGAGCTCAGCAGGCTGCTGGGAGGGGTGGCCATTGCTCTGGGAGGATTTGGGCAATCCTGCATCCTGGGGGAACCGAGAGGCCAGCCGAGTCTGGGTGGACGGATTGGATGGCATCTGCGGCCAGTTTCTTTGGATCTGTTGTGTGACGGACTTTACAAGAGATTCTTCCCGCCTACAGCCATCAGTATCTATAACATCTCTTAATGAAATGAGGTTAACGAGTTACAACAACATTTAATTTCCCTTTGGGATTAATAAAGTATTTTTGAATTGAATTGAACTGAATAATAATATTCTGAGATGTGGCCCCACGCTCATTGTAAACAGCACCTGGTTGAATCCACCAAAAGCTGGAGTTGTGTGATTAACCCACATCAGGCTGGAACGTCTGCAGATAAACAAGTATGGTGGAATCAAACAAAGGCAGAATTTCAGAGAGGACATTTTGGTGGATTTAAAAAGTGAATGTGCTGCTAAATGTGAAAGAAAGTAGAACTATTGAGTGGGACAAGTGTCCAGAACAAGAACTGGGGACCAAGCAGAGTGTGGAACAACATAAAAACAGAGCCCTGCATTTAAACACCACATAACTTCCTGTAAGTTTACTGTCTTCAACCTAACCTGTGTGTTTATCTGCATACTTTACTCCAAAAATCTCTGCATAAACAGGAAACAACATCTAAATGATCAGAAGTGAGTCCAAACAGCTCTTCCATGAACCTTTGCTGACCAGCTGCCACTCCTGTTTCTGTAGGAAATCAAATGTACTCGTCAGTTGGCAGCCGCTCACAAAATTAGAATTTAAGGACACATTAATCATTGATGTTATGAAACATATTGTGTTCATTATTTCATGAATTTATTTTTACCAGTCTTCATGATATCCCAATGAGAGGAAGACTCAGCTATAAATTACAGAACGCTTCTCTCTGAGTCCAGACCAGCTCAATGAAAACTGTCTCCTTTAGAAGTAACATTTCAAAGGTTTACTTCAGTTTTACTTCACGGCAGGACAAACACAAGTACTGGGTCCAGATGACAGGTGAGGTAAAACAGGTTTAATTACGTCCACAAGACAACTTGATGTTTGAACACCAACGTTCAGAAATAAAAACTGTCCACTGAACCAGGAAGCAGGGCAGGAAAACAGCTGTCCTTCTACAGATCAATGCTTCCTGCAGGGCAACGCACATCTGTCACACAACTGAAACTTTACCGACCACTTTCCCTCTGACTTACAACCAAACGGCCAACTGACACCAATGTACCCTTTGGCAAGGCATCAAACTGTCTGAGCCTGTACCTTGAACTATAACCGAAACTTCCTGCTGAACTTTCTGACCTCTGTAGGTCTAAATGTTGAAGTGTTCAAACTCTGTCCGCTCCAGCTGTGCAGGAAGACGAACTGAAGGAGAGGAGCTGACTCCTTCATACTTTCTGTCTCATCTGTTCAATCTGTCTCATTGGTCACATCTGTCTCATATGTCTCATGTGTCCAATCTGTCTCATCTGTTCAATCTGTCCAGTCTGTTTCATCAGACCAATCTGTCTTCGCAATCTCATCTACCTCATATGTCCAATCTGTTTCATCTACCTTATCTGTCTAATCTATCTCATCTGTCCCATCTGTCTCATACATGTCATCTGTACAATCTGTCTTGTCTGTCTCATACATGTCATCTGTACAATCTGTCTCATA